GGTAGGGGCCCGAAGCCGAAGAAGCGCGCGCCTGCGCAAGGCAAGAAGCCGTCGACAGAGAAGCGAGGAGGCATCAATGGGAAATCACAGGAGCGAACGAATGGATCCCTGCCACCGCGGCGAGCAGGATAGTCATGGAGTAGTATGTTGTACGATAGCGCCAGCTCATAATCGTATATGGTACAAGCTTCGACATAGGGAGACACGTCTAGGGCACGATAGGCACTCGCGACCCGGGTAGCCGTTGAAACCAACGCAGTTATCATTCATGATTGCGAAAGGCAGACCTAAGGTGACTCTGCATAATCTCTTTCATTTTGGCTTGATCCCGAGGAAGTATGCCTGCATAGGGCATCAGTACTGGTCCGGAGATTGGATGGTGAACACGAGTTGTACCTCCGGCGTGTGAAATGATAGCCCCACAGCCTCCGCGAAACCTTTATCGCCATCTGAATGATCACTCAGTCGACCAGCGGCATCGCCCACGAAGAAACTCTGTGTCTTATCTATGCAATACACAACGGATCGTGGTCAGTCCCAGACTCTGAAGTGCGAGACTCAAGCACGTTCGCTAACCTACGGCGACAGCATCGACTTCGAGCATCGAGACAAGCGCATCCCACATCCCAATCCCGGGCTTGCGGAACTTGTCATCCGAAGTTGCAGCGAAGATGTAGAAGGGGACGTCAGGAAGAGCGCGTGCGATCAAGGGCAATTTGTCTTGAAAGCGCTGGAGGCTCTTTCCCTTATATTTCTGGTTGGATATGATGGCTATCAAGTACCTAAACAAGACGTCTCAGCGCCAATATTCATGGATCCCAGTAAGTAATACGTACCCTTCGGCATGCAGGCTTTTCAGCTTAGCAGGAACGCCTGCACGCCACCAATCGAACCGTACTGGGCCCTTTGTACCGAATCCAGCGAAGCGAATGAGCGTACCATCCAAGTCGAATGCAGCTATCTTGACTCTGACTGGGCCTTCGCTTGTCGCCGAGTCTGTGAATGGGTGTAGGGGGGAGAGGTGTACGCCACGCAGGCAAGTGCGGTCGAAGGGAGACAGCCAACGAAAGTTAGAGGGTTCTGGAGGCGCGAAGATGGAAGCAACTGCAGGCGGTGAGTATTCTAAGCGTTTTCATTCTTGGGCTATGTATCTCCTTACGTTTAGGCTTCGCTTGAGTGGTTGTAGTCGTTATAGTCGCATTAGAGGCAAGGCTCGTGATGGTCAAGTCATTGCGTTGCCTCTTTCTCGACGCAGACTGCAAGTCATGACCTGTTACAGCAATGAGAGAAGACTCGACGTAATACTGCGCTATCACATCTACTTTCGGCGCTGACTTCGATCGTTGTGGTTGAGGAGGGATCTTCATCAAGATTTCGTGGGCGCTTCTTCATCTTCCCTGCAGCCGCATCCGCTAGCGATACGCGGATTGAGTGTCAGACGCAGTACAACTGCAACTTTCGGTGTATTGTTGTACCAGCTCTTCCTGTGGGAGACATGTTTGAGCGGGTGGACATGATGGGACGAGGCAGGACGCGTCTGGACTTGACGCGTCGCGCGTCGTGAGACCACGAGGCGCATCCGGCAACACGAGGCTCGCAACTTGACCGACGACACTCCGCTGGTAAGCTGCCGCCACAATACACGAGCTGCATCCCGTTCTCACTTCAATATACCATTCATGCTCTGCGTGGAGTCTGTATCTAGGAGGCACTACGTATACGGATAACCTGTACGTTCTTGATGCCAACTTGATGGTCGGGTGTACGCTTGAACTAGATCGTACTTACTATAGCCCGCGTACCACCTACGGCCGTCTCGGCCATGGTCTCCTCCTATCCTCCCGCCCGCTGTTCCTTAGAAGCCGATTCGCTGTCTTTCATGAGAACTTTCCCGGTTGTTTAGCGACGAACCTTTCCATCAAAGTTGCGTTGCCGGTTCCCTCGTGTTGGGCCCGCCTTCGCGCCGGCGGTATAAAGGCGCACGCGCCTGATGATCGCGGTCCGCGATATCTTGCCCCGCGCTTTGTCTTTCTCAGCCGTTCTCGTACGTGACCTACACGAGTTCATACTTTCCTTACGCTGACAATAGCGTAGACATTCGTTTGGGTTGCCTGGTCGCGCCCCTGGTCATTCCTTTCGGCTTCTCATCCATCCAGCAGGCTGTATCTGTAGTTCTTCCGGTCTCTAGGCTCCATTCGCTACCGCTTCGGACATGCACGGCTTCAACAAGTTCCTCTCTGTGGCAGGCGCTGTCGCGTCCCTCTCTCCCTTGGCATCATGTGCGCCTCTGCGCAGGCAGACTCCCGCTGTGGACCCCAACAATGTACTCGTATTACGTGCGTCTATTTGCTCCTTGTAATGCGGCGCGAGCTCACTAACACTTGCGGTGCAGAGTTTGCGCAAGTCCTGAACCAGCTTGAACAGCAATTCTACACGCAGGCCATGGCCAAGTTCAGCACGGACGACATCACTTCTGCTGGCTTCACTAGCGCGAACCTTGTCCTTGAGCAGCTCACTACGATTGCGTCGGACGAGAGCAGCCATATCAGTGCCCTACAATCTACCCTCACGTCGCTGTCGCAGACGCCACTCACGAATTGCTCCTTCGACTTCTCATCTGTCCTCACCGATATATCCACGACCGCTACGCTCGCGCGCATGGTCGAGAATGTCGGCGTCGGCGCATTCCTTGGCGCGGCCGACCTCATCTCGGACCCAACCATCTTGACCGCAGCTGCAAGCATCTTGACGGTTGAAGCCCGTCACCAGACCATCCTCAACACGTTGAATGGTGGCGCGGCTATTCCGGGCGCGTTCGATCTGCCGTTGCTGCCCAACGAGGTCCTGGCTATTGCTGGACCGTTTTTGACTGGGTCAGGATGCGAGCTGAATGTCACTGGTGCGTTGCGCGCACATGGTCTGTTTCAATAGTCGCTGACATACCAATAGCCAACCAGCCCATCACTGTAACCAACACTGACGCGATCGTCCCGGGAACCACTCTGTCGCTCACCTCACCGGCCATCAACGGCAGCACCGACGGCTTGTTCTGCCAGATGCTCCAGGGCGGCATGCCTTTCTCCATGTCGCTGCCGCTCTCCGCATGCACCGTCCCGACGGGCATGACCGGCCCCGTCGCAGTCTTCGTCACGAAAGACATGCAGCCGTTGAACAACAACGCGCGCGACCGCTCCGCCGCAAGCGTCCTCGCAGGCCCGGCGATGATCTTCATTGATGATGCGCCCCAAGCGCTGAGCGCGCTCATCAAGACGGGCGGAGGCAACTCGACTGTCATCAGCTTCATGACGCCCGACCAGGCCAGCTCCGTCCTTGCGTCTGCCAGTGCAACTGCCACGGCCACTCCCGCGAACGACGCGGGAGCCGCCGCTGCGACAACTGCCGCGGCCACTGCTGCGACCAGCGCCGCCGCGGCTGAGTTCACGCCATCGATCAGTTTGATTCCCAAGCCGACGGCGACAGCCTAGGTTATTGGATGGGGGGAGACTGGGCATGATCGACGTATTCGCTTCCTCCTTTGGTTCTGCCGTGCTGTAACTTTGCTCCGCGAATGGATTTGATGATCCAAGGACTCTTCTCTGCTGGTTTGGACATTCTACAATACCCTTGTAGCTCCCCACTTTAACGGCGGTAGAGCCGCTCTTACACACTTGCTTGTCTTGTCATGTCTCCGATACAGGACACGTTCTGTCACAAGGACGGCGCTGAGTGGCCAAAGGAGGCTGGAAGTGTGCGGCGTGACACAAGGACGTGACGTTCTAACTGACAGGTGTCCTCGGATTACGCACTTGCGACCTACCGTCGTATTCGTCAAGTCCTCGACTATCGAACCAGTGCGCAAGCTTTGAGTCAACCCATGGAAGATAGCGTCGCTATTGCTACCTCTCAATCTCGTTTTGGTGCGTGGCTGACATATACCGCGTACTGGCATGCGGCGATACAGAGCTCGATCGCTAATATGCAGATCAGGTCTTAGCGAGAGCTTGAAGAGAGATGCTCATGGAGCGGTGAAAACTGCCGTAGATATCCTAGGTGTTGCAGCGTCCATGACGCAGAACGTGCCGTACTTGGGCATCATCTCAGGCGCGCTCACTGAGTTCTTGAAGATCCAAGACGTACGTCCTCCTCTTCTGGATGAAGCGAAACGCGCTGAACGTCATGTAGGAGGTCGACATCTTCAAATCTGACTGGAGGCTGGCTATGGCCGTAGCGCAGCAGCTCAAGGCTCTAGTTGATCGAGTGCGCGTCCAGTGTGAGAAACTCGGTCCTGATGAAGAAGCCTTGCCGGAAGGATTCTTAGAGCCTTTATCAGAGTTGGAACGGTACGAAGCATTCACATTCAAACGAGTCAGTATCGCTCAGACGATCTAGATGCATCGTGCAGTCATTAGTCACGTTGAACGCGTGCAAGGCTGGATCGAAGCGGCTGAGAGATCGCGCGCGCGCGTACCTCAATCGCTCGGGACTCGCTGAGGATGTGAGGCGATGCCGGTCGGACATGCAATCCGCACTGGAACTGTTCAATGTGAGTGGCTAGCTAGCCTTGCGCTCTCGCGAGCTCATCTGAGTACTTCATGTAGACCAAGTTGCACCTCGTCAATGCATTCGTTATGCACGCTCATGGCAAGAAACTGGACGCGATCATCGACCAAGGACTGGTGCGTCTTCGGATACCATTCTATCAGGATGACTCTCAACTGGATCTAGACCGTTGAAACCGGTGTACCTATATCTGTGTACGTGCCTACCTCAGACACTGATACAATACATCCGCTTACTTCCGATCGAACAGGCCTCCCATTGCTTTACCTTCGCCTCCTGCCATCTTCCACGGCCGTGCACAAGAGGTGGACCATGTTGTCCGCCTCGTCCTTGGCAAACCCCCTGCGCGCGTTGCAATCTTGGGATCCGGCGGGATCGGAAAGACCTCGATCGCGCTGGCTGTGTTACACCACCCCGACATCGAAGCGCATTACGGCCAGAGTCTTTTCTTCATGTCGTGCGAGGCAGTCTTAACCGCAGAGGGCGTTTTGCAAGAGCTTTTGAAAATGTTCAGACTCACATCGGACGCCCATAGCCACCTCGCTCCACGCGATCTATTGATCTCGCATCTGCGTGCTCTGCCGCCTACGATGCTGTGCATGGATAACTTGGAGACTCCATGGGACGCTGATTCCCTTGGTGTTGAGTCTCTTCTGGCTGACATTGCCTCGTTCTCTCACATCGCGGTGCTTATCGCGACTAGGGGCGGGGATCGGCCACGGAGTGTTGCCTGGTCACAAGGGCCCCCCCTCCCCCAGATTGAACCTTTGACTCTCGACGCGGCTCTGGAAACCTGGGACGTGATATGCGGCCCCCATGACACCTACGCAGAACAGCTGATCAAGGTTGTTGACCTTGTTCCAGCGAAGTCGGCGATGAAGCACTATTCGCAGCCACATCCGGTCACGCGTGTGCAAGCTCACAAGCCTGTACAGCGGATGACGATGAGCGAGGTTCGACCCGCTCAACATACGAGCCAACATCGTATTCAACGCCCGGAGCTGCAGCAGCGCGCTCAGGCGTATCAGGCCGCCTATGCAGCTCCGCCTTCGCCAAACAACTTCCTGTTGTTCTCAGCTACTAGCGTCGAGTTCCCGACGCAAGCTCCGCCGGCCACGATCGTCAGCCCGTATGCTCGCCCCAGCCGTGTGCCTAGCCACATCAAGGGGCCATCGCACAGCTCATTCGCGCTGCCGGGCTACGAGAAGACCCCGATGAGCTTGCACCCCTATGCCGCGGTCTCGCGGGCGCTGCCGGATACACCAGGTAGCGCGACGTCGGGTGACTGGCGCGCCTGGCACGAGGAGCGCGGAGGATGGCTCATCCACGCCTGAATCCTCCAGCATGACATTTCCCGCCTTTCGAAAAGACTTTGACTTCGTCTCAACAACGTCCTGTACCGGATAACATCTCATTCTCCTCACCACTTTTTGCACACACACATCACTAGCCCCCGACGCTACGATTTTCGCTGTGCTATACTTTACGCTTTCCTGTACATTCGCACTTGATGCTTCTAATATGAGGTCCGCGGCCCTGTTGTTTATTCGTGTGTTCAACTTCTGCTCTCAATCTGTGTGTGCCCTTGTTGTGTCCATATTGCTGTCGATGTATGTTTGACTTCCTTCTCTTTTGACGAAGACGTCAAGAGCCCGCGTGCGCGAAGACATCTGATATCACGCCTTCCTCAGCGCCTTTCACCAAGTCCTTCCTTCTTTCCATCGCGCATTGTCGCTCAGGCTCGGCGCGACGCCAAGTATGTAGGCCGTCGCCTCCGACGGCCGAATAGAGAAGCGCGCAGGGGGTTGAAGGTGAGCGCGCCGACGCCGATGGTGCGGACCAAGCAACCACGGTGGGGAATGCGCCCCGCGCGCCTGAATTCTCGTCGGGGATTTTCTGTTAGACTCGGACTCGGCGTTCGGAGCTATACATACTTTGGCTGGGGAGCGGCCTGTCTCTCTTCTCTTTCTTGAACCACGATCTCGGTCTGTGATATGGGTAACGACGCCGCTCTTGACTCTAAGCTGAAAGCGGCGCTCGTATCGCGCGAGCAGCGGGGTATCAGGCGGCGGCTTCCTGCGCCGTCTTCGGCGCGCGCGACCGCGTCCACGAGCACGGACTTCTCTTCCAACGACTACCTCTCGCTGTCTTCGTCGCCTATCCTACGCGAACGTCTGTTGACTGCGCTACAAAATGCGCCGGATATACTGATACGCATACCGTAAGTTGGGCGAGTTGTTCGTTGTTGAAGGGGAATATGAGAAGGCAATCCACGCTTTAGAAAATGCCGTCCGCTATTACAGAGACGCATCGGACCCTCGTGGCATGCGTTCATCTTTGTGTGCTCTAGGAGAATCGTACCTTTCCCTCCGGCAATTCGACGACGCAGATCGCTCATTCCAATCTGCTCTTGCAGCTTCCCAGGATTGCAATGACCGCAATACAGAAGCCAATGTTTTGATCGAACTTGGGCGCTTGCGTCGACGCCAGTCCAGATACGAGGAGGCTCGCTTCCTGTTACAGTGGTCATACGATATCTCAGCCCGTCTCGCGTACCCGGATCCACAAGCTAGGGCGCTTCACGCCCTTGGGTTTGTTCGTCTAGACCTCTGCGATTTCGACGGGGCGCAGGACTATCTCGAAGATGCGTTACACTTGTACAAGAGCATGCATATGTGGAGGGACGTGGCCTCCGTCGAGGCAGACCTTAGCCTGCTTCGGTCTCGGAGACAGCATTCGGCCGAACAAGAGGATGACAAGCTCTCGCAGTCTGCAGGGCATCTAGAACTTGAGGGGGATAGACTATCCCAGGAGGATGAAGGGTGCAATACCAACCACAGGCAAGATATCGCCTGCTGACTTCTCCTCCACGAACGGAACAGGACTATATGTGAAGAGGGCGATAAGATAGAGCGGTGAGGAAGGCGGACTCAGCCGCGACACGAAATGCGACTTCAGGCGCCCTCGAGATGTTGAAGACGGGGATCGCACTACCGTGCGTCGCTAGCCCATGACGCTTATATGATACATGTTTGTGCTCCCGGTATCAGCGTTGCTTCAGAACAATATCATACACATTCGTCTCATCCTCGGCCCCGTCTTCATTCTCGTTCTCGTCCGCATCCGCATCACCACCCCCGACCACGCCCACCTCATCGCGGCTCACAAGGATTCATACTCCTCCCACCCCTATACCCAAACTCCGCCTCCTCATCCCTCACAACAACCCTCTTCACGACCCCATCCCTCCACCCACACACCATCCTCGGCGCAACAATCAGCGCCCGGAACCCCTCGAGCAGCATCGCGCGCACCGTATCGTGCTCCTGCGCAAAGCTGTTCAGCATCGCCAGCCGCGTCTCGGGCGACGCGAGGCCCGTGCGGAGCTCGAGCGGCATCGGCATCGAATTCGAAAGCGACCCGGAAGAGGAAGAGGGGGAGGGGGACGGGGAGGCGAGTTCCGAAGGTAGGATGGAGAGCCCGCTGTCGTAGAGCACGCGGACGTGCGCGTTGGTGGAGGCGTCGAGCAGGCGCCAGTGGCACGCGGCGTCGGCGCGCGCGGAGGCGGGCATCGTGTCGACGTAGCCGCGCCGCGAGCGCGAGGCGGCGAGCAGCGCGTTGGAGGCGACGTTGCGGAGGATGAAGTGCCCGTCGCGCGCGGCGGGGGCCCACATGTGGTGGATGTTTGAGAGCCAGTATTTTGAGACCTGTATAAAGCGCATATAGTTAGCTTCCTTTCTGAACCGGGAATGGGAGCATGAGTGATAGGGTGGCAGAGCAAGAGGGCAAGGAAAGCGGAAGGTAAAGAGAGGTGTACTGACGTTGATGTGCGCATTCCCGTAATGGTCCATCGTACACGGATTGTCGCTGCTGCTCGCGATCGCGAAACAGTCCGTCCGGACGTTGCCCATGTGGTTCTCCGCATATATGAACGTCCAGGCGCTAGTGGGCGTCGGGTTCGGGCTCAGGATCACGTTCGGCCCGTTGACGTTCTCCGTGCGCGTTGCGAGCATCCCCGTCAGTACGTTTTGAAGGAGTAGGGGCCGTCGTGGGAAGGAGACGTCCGGGAGCGGCGGGGAGTAAGTGAGCGAGGTGGAGGTGGAGGGGGAGGGGG